CACAAGAAAACCCAAGCCTCGCTGCGGCCAGACCAAAGACCTGGGTCCCGGGTGCCGGAGGAAAACCGATGCCGGCAGCCAGGGGAAGGAAGGCCTATTGCGCCAATCTTCGTGCAACAGGCTTCAAGTTTTTAAATAACTCTTATTGTTTATACATGTTTAACTAAACTGTTAAAGCTACAATGTAAAAAAGAATGAGAAAGCCTGGCCTGTGTAGCTCAGTGGTTGAGTGTCAACCCATGCACTAAGAGGTTACAGGTTTGATTATGGGTCAGGGCACATGCCCAGACTGCAGGCTAAATCCCCAGCATGGGGCATGCAGGAGGCGATCAATGTTTCTATCTATTCCTCTCCCTCTCTAAAATCCATAAAAACTTTTTTTAATGAGAAGGATCTATGGATAGAAGGAACAATTTCCAAAACGTACTGAGACACATAAATGTTTATGAATAATTTATCTCTGAAGATACATAAGAAACCGAACAGAGCAGTTGCATCTGGGGAAGGGGAGGATATGTACGCTTTTTTTAAAAAAAAAAAAAAGGCATATTGTGTATATTATTTTGTAATACGCTTTTAAAAAATATGCCAGAAACATTTACCCATATTATTAAATATTCTTTCTTGATTCTGGGTGTCTATGTACATAGTGTAGCGTTTCATTATTGGGAATACGCTACAGTTAAGCCCTTGGATAAGTTTGCAGTGCACGATATAGCACACACTTCTGACATGGAATACATTTTCATGGCATATTTGCAGGACCAAAGCAAGCATGCATGTGGTTTTAAACTTATCTCCATTTTGCTTCTTAGGTAAGTCACTTCTGCAAGTTCATCTCATCCAGGGATGTGTACAGTTTCTTTACTTAAGTCTTGTTTCCAAGTCCCTGGAGACCATCTCTGCAGCAGCCTCTATCTGGCAATTCTACTGTTTTCTTCTGACCAGTGGATTTAGATTAGCCCACTGAAATGAGCCTAGGTCAGTGGTCGGCAAACTCATTAGTCAACAGAGCCAAATATCAAAACAGTACAACGATTGAAATTTCTTTTGAGAGCCAAATTTTTAAACAAACTATATAGGTAGGTACATTGTTATTAACTTAATTAGGGTACTCCTAAGGCGAGGGGCCAAAGAGCCGCATGTGGCTCGCAAGCCGCAGTTTGCCGACCACGGGCCTAGGTGATGCCCTGTGATGCTTAAATGTTCAGTCTTGGATAAATGCACTTTAAACAATACGAAATGAATTATGAAACTAGTAATCATGGATGTACAATCTGGGAGGCAATTGAGCAATTATCAGCATTAAATGTGCACTACCTTAAACACAAGTTATATATATATGTGTGTATATATATGTACATATATATATACACACATACACACACACACATATACATATACATATGTAACATATATATGTGTGTATACACACACACACACTAAGACACTTTTAATGGTCTAAAAATGGAACCAACCCAAAAGACTCCATAGTCTGGCTTTGATTGGAGGGGGGGGGGGGCTTACAACCTGATAGAGCACTGAATTAATCTGGAAAGTAATATCATTTTAGATCTTAGAACACATATACTTATGTGTATAGGGGGTTAAATTTCTTACATGTGAATAGGGGGTTAAATTTTTCTTAAAGTTTCCTTTTCAAGGCCTGTGCAAAGCGATCAGGGAGGTGACTCAGCTGTGAATCCAGCAAGTAGAACCAATAAACATGGTCAGGCCTGACCCACGAGGAGTCAAAATATCTTATCATCTCATTGCCTGATGACAAATTACAATTACAATAGCTGATGTCTGTGGACCCCCAGGCCTGCACGTAGCTGCATTCCTCACCCCAGCCCCTTCTGCTTTATAATCCTGTCCCCTGAATCTTGCTGGAAGGCAGGATTTGATGCTCATAAGCACCCTGTCTTCTTGGTTGGCTGGCCTTCCCAATAAACATCTAATATGATTCAACCCTGCCTTCGTTATTGGACACAGTGACAGGCAGCTCGAACCCAACCAGGAGTTTCCCGGTAACAGCTTCAATCAATTATTGTAAATCCACACCACAGAGTCATATGCAGTCATTAAAAAATGACAATACAGATTCATCAACCTGTTTTGGTTCACAGATTCTATTAATCTGACAAACGCTGTGTATCTTCAATTCACAAAAATTCTGTGCTATCTCTGAAGTCTATCCATGGCAGGTCACAAGTTAAAACTTCTTGATATAGATCTTTATGACATGGAAAAAAGCCTACACTATCCAGATTACTAAGCATTATACTAAACAGAAAAATCCCACAATGGGACCCTATGCCTGGAGTGTGCACATAGCTATCTGGTTACTGGATAACTTTATCAATGTAGGCCCTGCCCTCCTCCCTTATGAAGGTCTCAGCGCCCAGTTGTTTTCCTTAGTAACACCTGTCTTATGTTTACTGATTTATGCCTTTCTGCTGCCCATCCCCCACCCCATAGACTGTAGGCTCCTGAGAGCAGAGCTTAGGTCTGACTTGCTCATCCATAAGCCACATCCAACACCTTCCTTTTAAAAAATCCTCACCCAAGGATATTTTTCCATTGATTTTTAGATAAAGTGGGGGAGAAACATGGATGTGAGAGAGACGCATCGAATGGTTGCCTCCTACACGCTCCCCCACCAGGGACTGGGGACTGAGCCGACCACTGAGGTATGTGCCTTGGACAGGTATCAAACCTGGGACCCTTCAGTCTGACGGCCAATGCTCTGTCTACTGAGCCAAATAGGCCAGGACCAGCACCCACTTTTGCAAAC